GGGGGACAGCAAGAGGGCCTTCGGGGTCGGGCTGGTGCGGCCCCGCGGCCGCCGCCGGGGCGCCGTGCGTACCTGCCTGAGGGACCTGCAGCACAGCTTCGAGCGGCGCGGCAGGCTCCCGCCCGGCCTCGGCCCCCTCCCCCCGGAGCTCCTCAGGTACCGGCGGGAGGGGGGCCTGGGCCTGGCAGGCCTCCCGCTGCGGGGGCCGGAGGGCAGGGAAGGCCGCAGGGCGGTCTCTGCGAGGGGGGTGGGCAGCTGGCAGGGAGGGGAGGCCTGAGGAGGGGTGGCTGCAGAAGGGAGCCGTGGACGCGAGCTCCACGTCGCGCCAGCCTGGAAGGTGCCCGCTGTGTGCGAGGCGGGGAGAGTGCTGCAGGGTGCTGGGTAACGTGAGGGAAGGCTTGGGTTGGAAGGGACCTGCGAGATCATCTGGTTCCAGTCCCCCTGCCATGGGCAGAGACACCTTTCGCTAGACCGGGTTGCTCAAAGCCCCATCCAGCCTGGCCTTGAACGCTTCCAGGGCTTGGTGCTGCTCTTGGAGGGGTGGTTGTGCCCGCCTGCGCTCAGCGCTGGGAGTGTGGGAGAGCAGGAGGGGGTTTTGTTGCCGTGCCAGGCCTTGCAGAGGAGAGGAGAGCACAGAGAGGCCTGAGGGAGTACAGGGTTGTGTTGTGCAGGGGGAATTTGGGAGCCCTGTGCAAGGTAAAGGATGGGCAGGGAGTCAGAGGAGCTCACCCTGGGGTCCACAGGAGGTGTGGGAGGGCAGCGTGCCATGGGGAGTGCAGGGGATCCCAAGGGAATACTGTGCTGGGAGAGCTGGTAGGTGCAGGAGGAGCTTTGTGTTAAATTGGGTTACGTTTCCCTGAAACGGTTGTTGTGATGACCCAGCTGTGAATGGTATGTGGTGGTGTACCGGCACGTGGGGATGTGGTGCGCTGGTATTTGCAACCGGGTGTTTTGTGTTGTGAAATTAGAGCCTGGGACCAAAGCCCTGAAAGGATTCAAGAACAGCAGGAGCTAGCTGAGCCTGCGTCTGTAACATAAAAGATAAAATCTCTAGATCTGAGAAAAGATATGTTTACATGCAAATGAAGCATACTGAAATGTGCAATTGCCTCTTCTAAAAACTGACTCTCCCCATCAATTTCCTTGTTGGATGGATCATCTGTTTCAAGTCAGAAAACTGGGAGAAGCTTGTGAAACTGGAAAAATAGTAAACAAAAGACCCTTGTGTCCAGGGGAAGCTGGGGAGGAGTGGAGACCTCTGCGCGCTTTCCTAGGCAGTGGTAACATGTCAAACTTGAGCTAGAAACTGGTGTTAGAAAACACCACTAGGACTGTGGATGTACAAAGTGTAGAGCAATGCTTCAGTTAATAATTCTCCACGCTGGCACTCTTGCTCGCTGCCAGTGGAAGGGCTTAGGACTGACCATATTCAGTTCTGCATGCGTGTCTCTTCTCTAGACGCGGCAAGCTGCAGAGGGAGTCAGACTTCATGGCCAGTGTAGACAGCAGCTGGATCTCCTGGGGTGTGGGAGTCTTCATTCTGAAGCCCCTGAAGTGGACCCTCTCCAGTGTGCTGGGTGACAGTAAAATACCTGAGGAAGAGGAAGTTCTGATTTATGTGGAGCTGCTTCAGGTGAGTGTTGTTGAGAGCTTTCTCAAGATTATGCATCTCCAGAAAAATTATGAGTCATTTTATGTGCTAGCAAGGAAGGATTAGGGTTGAATAGACCGTCATTTGTACTCCTTAGGTGTTTAAAAGCCTGTAGAGAGATGGATGGAATAACTCAGGAATAAGAAATAGTTTATACCTACAGATGTTCCTTGAAGTGAACGTAATGACTTTTCACTGACATCCAAGAAATGGGAGGGGTAGGCTTGCTGGCTTGTCTAGGAGGGCAAGTAGTGTGCTGTGAGACCGCTGCAAATCTCAGGTTTGAGTTTGTGCGAGTGTAGTATACGAGAGAAACTTGCAGACTGAGTGCCGTCCGTTGTAGGGAGAAACGGGTGACGTAGAAGTCGCCGGCTGTCAGGCCGCTGTATCATCGAGCTGAACTCGCGTGTGTGTTATTAAAGGCCGCTTTCGCTTCAGAGCACGTGCTTTCAGCTTGCCTTTTCAGACGTGATTAGAACTGCCCTTGGATCCTGTCAAAGACCCTTTTCTTTGGCCCGTTGTTAGCGGTAGACCTGTGGGTTGCGTTGTGAATTCACGTAACTCGTTGTTGCTCAGTCTAACTTGGATGGTGCAGTGCTGACAGTCGAGACCTTGGGTCCCTCTCTGTGTTACTCAAGGACTGTTAAAATTAGCACCAAGACTTGCTGCTGCTGCATGCAAGTGGTGTCTAAATGGCTGGGACTAGCAGAAATGCAAGAGCCCTTTAGATGTGTTCTTTTGTTTGTAGTTACTCTGATAGCAGGCGGTGTCTTCCCTCTGCGGTGGGTGTTTCACAGCCCTTTCAGAGGGTGTGTGCATGGGAGAGGAGCGAAACCTTTTAAAAAGGTGTCTGGAAAACCACAAGCCTTGATGTGGAATCTGGGGGTGGATGGAAAGAGCTGTTTCTATGGTCTTCAGTGGACTGTAACTCTCACTTGAAATGGGGAAAACTTTTTTCTTTTTCCTCTGCCCGTGTACAAATGATGCAAAATGTCTCGGTGAGTAGAATTACAGTGTGGATTAAGGACAAGCTTTTGTTGGGTTAAAGCTTGGTGAAGGGGAAGAACTTTAGGAAATGCAGAGGAGGCTCACTTGCTGCCTGTGTGGTTCTTACGTTGTTCCATAGCATTTGCACAGGGAGTGTGAATAGCGTAGTTTTGGTTCTCGTGAAAAATGCACATTCCATTAATGATGATATTTTTAAAGCATTGTAATTGCTTTTGAATGTTATGTACAACTCATTCTGAAAGTCTGTCTTGCCCAAAACATGATGTGTCTAACTTTTTACCCTCTGTGTGTGGGAGGAAGCAGGTGTGGGCTTGGCAGTTGTTGTGAGAGAAGTAAGAGTCCTGTGTAAACTAATAGCTCTGTTGCTTCCTTTCAGGAGAAGGCAGAGGAAGTTTATCGCCTATATCAGAACTCTGCACTTTCTTCTCACCCTGTTGTTGCCCTCTCAGAGCTGCGTTCCCTCTGTGCCAGTGTTTGTCCAGATGAAAGGACGTTCTACTTGTTGCTGCTCCAGCTGCAGAAGGAAAAGAGGGTCACGATCCTGGAACAGAACGGAGAGAAGGTACAGGGTAAAGGTGACTGCTTTTGGGTGGTATAATCCCTGTCTTGCATTTCGTCTGGCTGGAAAGAATACTTTATTGGCTAAACATGGGCGTTCTTTGATTGGAAAAGTCAATTCTGCGTACTCCAACATCGTAACCTGGTTATAGATGAGATTAAAGCCTCATTCTTGCATGACAGGTTCTTCTTTTCCTCTGTCAAACGTTTGTAATATTACCTATGTAACTTAACAGCTAGAAAATTGGCAGATACTGTAGCTGTCCACTCGCAGGCTGACTGTTCCCAGCTACCCAAACTGAAATCGTTCCATGCCACTAGAATCAGTGTTCCACGTTCTGTGAAAAGGTTTTCCTGCCTGTCTGTAACTACAGAGGGGCAGGCGCTCTTGTCTCTAAGATGGCACGTTTGCCTGTAGCGTTCTGCACTGTACAGTTCAGTACTGAAGTACTTAGAAGTGTGACGTTGCCGTGCACTGTTCAGAGCACCAGGACAGCTTTAAATCTTCGGGGTGTTCTGTTAAGGCCTCTGTTTTCACACTGATGTCACTTGATCCCGTCTAGTTTAATATTAGATTATATGGTGACTGGTATGTCCTCATTGCTTTCTTACAAGGCTTAAACTGGGGATGTAAAAGCATCTTTTCCTTCTATCAGAGTGAAAGTATTTTGAGTGCAGGCACAGATTCTGGAGACAAGTGACTCGAGCACATGGTTCTCTTTCTTTAGATAGTGAAGTTTGCCCGAGGTCTTCACGCCAAAGTCTCCCCAATGAATGATGTGGACATTGGAGTGTATCAGTTGATGCAAAGCGAACAGCTGCTGTCACAGAAGGTGGAGTCCCTTTCCCAGGAAGCAGAGAAGTAATTTGGGGAAGGGTGGTGGGAAGAAAATCTGTGTGCCGTAGAATTTTGTGTTCCTGTGACATAGTTAGAACAAAGCTGCTTTCTGAAAGTGCAAGTCATTCTTTCCTGTTCAGTAAACATGGTAGCCACAGTCATGCGGTCGGGCAGGTTTTCCAGTCTTTGTTCCTTTATCCCCATGAAAACAACGTGCAGTGAGTGGATGTCAAAAGTTTTTGCAAAGATTGGGAAAGCGTTCAAGGGCTACTTCTGAGGAGCAACAACGGCTTAAGGGTGGTTGTATCTGAAATGTGTCGTTACTCGGTCACCTCTGGATTAGAGCAAGGTAGTGAGGATGGTTGCTGATTTGTAAAATAACTACTGCTTGCAAAGGAATAAGCTGCTTTTTCCTTGTTGCATCTGTACAGGTGTAAAGAGGACGCCCGGAGTGCTTGTAGAGCTGGGAAAAAGCAACTGGTAAGTACCGTTCTACTTGGGAGGAACTACAAGTCAAGTGTCTTGGAGCTGGTCCATAACTGCAGATAATGACCAAGGTTAGGCATTGTATACTTGAACTTAGATGTGTTGAAGTGGTGCTTCTGAGGCCAAAGATCTCCTTAAGGTGAAGGTAAGAATGTATTTGTCCAGAGTGATGTGGCGAAGAGAAATGGAAATATCTAGCTCTTAAAACCAGCTGTTGCGTGTGCACCTTGCTGCACGGGGATTGCTTTTTTTTTTTTTTTTTTTTACACTTCCTTTGGCTGCTGCCTGGTTTGTGATCCAAGTCTGTGTATCTAACGTCTCCAGGCGCTGAGATGTTTGAAGTCCAAACGAAGGACAGAAAGGCGCATTGAAGAGCTTCATTCCAAGCTGGATGCAGTGCAGGGGATCTTGGATCGTATATACGCCTCCCAGACTGACCAGATGGTAGCGTGTTAATTTTGTCTTGTGCTTCTCACTTTAGCCCAGCTCTTCTCATTTGTGCTGCTTTACCTGCCTGTCAGAGCTCATGTCTGAGGGGTGTAAGCTGACTGGTGAGACTTTCTTCTCTGCTCTAGGAAACAGCAAATCTGCTGTTGGGGTATCCCTCTGAATAAACCTGCTTGTGGCTCCGTTTTCTGCTTGTATGCTCATGTTTCTCTGAGGGTCCTGCTTGGATAATGGGTCTTGAGAGAAGCTTACACTGCCTGTTGTTTGTTCTTAGTTAGCATTGTGCATCTTTCTCTTTCTCTCTCTCTCTCTCTCTCTCTCTCTCTCTCTTTTTTTAAGGTATTTAATGCCTATCAGGCTGGCGTGGGAGCTCTGAAACTGTCTATGAAGGATGTTACTGTCGAGAAGGCAGAGAACCTGGTGGATCAGATACAAGAGGTACTGAAATAAGAGCACATCTAAACAAACAAGCAAGTGGTGTGTAGATGTACATAGCAATATTGCCCAGATATTAATGATGAGGCTTCTGGTGCTGTTTGGTTTCTATTCTGTATGTCACCAGGCCAAATGGACTTAATCCTGATTTTTTTTTTTTTTTAGATCAGCCAGGAAAGGTCTTCAAATAACTGGCTGTGTTTGGGTTTACGTATTTGCATTTATTGCTGGCTAGTAATCACGATGTACATTAAATTTGTGTATTTCATGTGTTCTTTTGGTTAGCAATATTGTGCAAGCAGACAACTTTCCTAGAAAACGTTTAGCAAGATGTATTAAAAAGATATACAAGCTGTACCTTTGGAAGCTGGAGTGCAACTATGTGCATAAAAAGAGGGTCTGAAAACTGCCTAACCCATAATCTTCTGCAGTGCAGTAAGGGAAAGGAGACGAGTTTATTCTGAATGAATTGAAATGAAGAGAGCAATCTGTCTGCATAAGCTGGTGTAAAAAAACAGAAAAGGATTACTTTTTTAGCTACTTCAGCTCCATGTACTTAAATAGTGACTTCAGCTAGTCACAAAATTTCATAGCTGAGATGTATTGGTCTTTAGCTTCCTTATTTTGTTAGCCTAAGCTGCAATGTAAGCTCATTACTTATGTGAAAAAGCTAAAATGAAGGGGATTTTTTTTTTTTTAACTATGAAATCCTGTTTCAGGTTTCATCCTCCAACACGCTTCTTGGTCTTGTAGCTCTTTATTAAATAATCTTCCATGTTACTTCTTTCGCTAGTGAAAAAATGGTCATGTTGGAAGTCTCTTTTGCACTAGTACCTGCTGCCTTTAAGTCAACTTTTGAATTTTTGTTTGTTTTTTTTTTTTGTTATTTCTACTTTTGACATAGGTGGCTACAATAAGACATAAGGTTAGTTTATATTGTATATCAAACACTGTGTGTTTTTCCTCAGCTTTGTGATACTCAAGATGAAGTAGCCCAGACTCTGGCTGGAGTGGGGATCAATGGGCTAGGTATGTTTTGGGGTTTCCATCCTTTGTTCATCTTTTCTTGCCACTGCTGGCCCTTTGTGCTGTCGTCCCTTCCCTGCTCCTTCCCCACGTGTGCCTAGTCCTCCTTCCTGGGAGGATAAGCACTCACTCAAATACCAAGGCTGTTGCTACTGGTGGCTTGAGAGGGAATGAGGACTGACAAGGAGTTTTCTTCTCTGACAGTGGGTTGCAGGGGAATCGGCATTTGTGCACCTCCAAATCCTTGCAGTCTCTTAAGTGCTGGTGGATTTCAGTTCAGAGTTGTGTAATGTTGATTGAAATCTATTTTTAGAGTGGCTGCCGCTTTGTTTTTTAAGTGATGATCTTTTTCCTCTGGCCTGTGTGTTGCTGCAGCTTGTTTGTCTCGGCTGAAATGTTTTCTTGCCCTTAGATGGCTCAGCGCAAAGGCTTCTAAAGGAATAGCTTCTCCCTGAGATCAGGACTGAATTTTCACCTTTAGAAGCAGTGCAGGGGGTTCCTTATTATTATGAGTAATGATGGACGGGAGTAACAATACCTCTGTTAAACTTGGACTTCAGTCTGTGCTGTGAAGATGCTACTTAATTCTGCTTGAAGCTGAATGTTTTCTTTCATTGGCAGAGATGGACACTGAGGAACTTGAGAAGGAGCTGGACAGCCTCCTCCAGGACTCGACTAAGGAGCCTGTAGATCTGCCTCCTGTTCCCCAGAAGGTGCTGAATCCACCCATTTTTGATGCTGAGCTTGAAGCCGAATTGGAAAAGCTCTCTGTTTCTGATGGAGGTACGGATGTCAGCAAGTCGTGTTAGCTAGCTGCTGTTAGGACCTATGACACTCTAGCAGAACTAAAGTCTGAGCCGTAATCTTTCCCGCTTCCAGTCACACGGTTGAAAGCGAGCTCTCCTGGTAGCCCTGCCAGGTGCTCAGTGGTGTTGTCTTTCACTACCAGACTGAGTCTTGAGAGAACTGCCCTCTTTGCTAGAAATTCTGCCTGGACTTTTTGCCATGGGGTGTAGGG